CTATTGCTTGTGGCGGTGCTGGTGCTTCTGCTGGTGGCGGTGTCGGTGCTGTTGGTGGTGCTGCTTGTGGCGGCCCTGTTGGAAGTGGAGTTGTTGCTGGGGCCATTTTTGGGCTAGGAGCAGCAAGAGGAGGAGGAGGAGGAGGAGGAGGAGGAGGAGGAGGAGGAGGAGGAGGAGGAGGAGGAGGAGGAGGAGGAGGAGGAGGAGGAGAGAGAGGGAGGAGGAGGAGGAGGAGGAGGAGGAGGAGGAGGAGGAGGAGAGGGAGTCTAAAGGAGGAGGAGAAGGGGGAGGAGGAGGAGGAGGAGGAGGAGGAGGAGGAGGAGGGGGGGGAGGAGGGGGAGGGGGAGAGGGAGGGGGGGGGGGGGGAGGGGGAGGCGGAGGAGGAGGAGGAGGAGGAGGAGGAGGAGGAAGGGAGGAGGAAGGGAGGAGGAGAAAGGGGGGAGGCGGAGGAGGAGGAAGAGGGAGGAGGAAGAGGATGATGATGATGAGGAGGAGGAGGACGACGACGAGGAGGATGAGGAGGAGGACAATGAGGAGACGGAGGAGTAGGACGAGCAGGAAGTGCCGAAGGAACAACAGCAGGAGGAGCGGGAGGAAAAGGGGCAGCAATGCGGCACGAGGAAGATGGAGGAGCAGGAGGGAGCATGCAAGAATGGAGGAAGAAAGGAGGGAAAAAAGGGGGTTTAACAGAGGGGCTGCTCCAGACCATTGACGCCCCAAGGGGCCGTTTGGATTCCCGACGCTTTTGGCAGTTGCGGAAACGTGGCCCAACCGAGAGAGCGCTGGAATTGAAACGAATTCGTGGGCAACTGGAACGCTCATACTGCGACCGGTTGCTTGTGACCGAGCGGCCTAAAAAGAAAACGCATACTGCCCGGGAGGGTTGTATTGAGAAGAGAAAGGTCACCGCCAGTGACTTGGCCGACGCGGCCGCGTGGTCATCCTCGAGTTCGACATCGTATCGTGCCGGCGACATCGCAGTGAACAGGATCGCGATGTTAGCCGGATCTTTGGATCCTGCGAGCATAGATGCTCTCGTCACGCGGTTGAAGGCAATACGTGATGCCAAGAATAAGTTTGTTCCACTGGGCGCAGAGGATTCCCCCGGATTGGGCGGGCGTGGGTTTCGCACTGACTTCGACACACCTTTGACGATCATGAAGGACGCCCAGATGTTACACGATGATTTTGCGCCACGGTCGACGGTGCCGCGGGAGGTCGGCGCACTTTCTGTACGAATAGGGGAGCCGCAGTGGTGGAGGATTGATACGTTCGCGTCACAGGTCGCCGCCATGGTCGAGTGGTTCGACCGGCGGGAGGTCGTATCGGCGGCGTTTCTGGACGCGAAGCAAAAGGAAGCGCTGTCCAAAGACATGCGTCTCGTTGCGCGAGTGAACAGGCGGTGCCGCGACGACACGCCATCCTCCCAATTCGCGTACCAGCACTACCGGGAGAATGTCAACCCCGACCATGACCTTCTTCAGGAACTTGTGCAGCTCGTGGTGAATATTTTTATTGTTCGGAATACTCTGTCGCACAGCGTGCGGGAGGACCTCAAGGCTGGTGTTTTCGTGTGGGCCAAGGTCTCATTGCACACTGGCGACGTCACAAATCTGGATGACCTTTTCACGTACTACGCATCGGTGAAAGGCGACGTCTTCGGGTCCTTTGTGAATCCGATGCGCCTCCGTAAGGAGATGAAGTTGGATGGGGTTCCATGTATTCATCGCGGAATTGCAGATGTTCTCGCGTCGAATTCGCTCTCCCTTGCAGGAGTTCGCGTCTTCGTGGGATCTGGCGCGTTTCTTTCGCGCCTTGCAGGGCATTCCGGGGCGCGGTGGCTCCGGGTTTCGGGCGAAGGAGCTCCTCTCGGACTTCGTGGCCACGTTGCCCGTGCTCGCACCGCGCATCGGCCCAGTCAACATTGACTCCGTGAGTGCGGCGTTTCAGGAAATTCGCGTTATAGGTGCGGGCCCGTGCTGGACGGCGAATTTCTTGCTGAACAGGCCTTTCTTCCTGAACGAGGAGGCCCGAGCTGCAGACAAGGAAGACGAATACCTAAATGCTTTGACGTACACCGTGGAATATGTTCGCAAACGTGCAAATCAGAGTACGCTCATCGGTCCTTTCTCGACATATGCTACGAGCTGTGCGAATACAATAAGCAACTTCTCAGCGTGTACCTCAATAAAGGGAAGCCTTACTCGCCCACGACTTACAAGGAAGGGAGTGCAAAGCACGTGACTCCCGCGGCAGCGCGCGCGGAAGGGGCAACATTGCTTGAAGCTCATCAGCGCCGCGAGCGGTGGTTCGCGCTGTCGTGTCAGAAGTGGCTCGAGGTGACAGAGTGCGAGATGCGCGGGCTGTAGGGCCCTCCGCAGATATATCCAGCTGCCTGCGGCAAGTCCCGCCGCCGTGCCCACCCAGGTTTAATTCGGCCGATGGACCATGGTAGCCGGCCCCACTGGGTGAAATTGCCGATCCAAGCCAAAATGGCACTTTTCTATGGAATATGGGAAACCAACGAAAACTCGAGTTAGGCAGAAAAATCGTTGAACGACAGAAGTCGCAAATGTCGCAAGTCGCAAGTCTTTGTTTGCGCAAGTTCGCAGCAAGTTGGCCTTGCAGCGGCCCATCCATCGAAGCTCGGAAGCGAGGGACAGTACGAGGGGGATGGGATCTCGGAAACAATGGCCTCCAATATTGCACAACAGCGAAAAGGAAATAATTAGCCTGACGAAAGACCCACCCGTACACCGCACTCACATCTATACCCCTGGGTGGGTGTATGTGCGGCCGTTTTTGCGATGTCATGTGCGCGCATGTGCGCGGCATGTGCCAGTCATGTGCCAGGCCTGTGCGGCCCTTCTTGGATGGACCTCCTACTGTGCACGTCGTGCCCGGGCATGTGCGGGGGCATGTGCGCTGTGTTTCGATGTATCCATCATACGCACATGCACGCACAGTCCGACGCAGATGCGCGCACATGCCTGCACATGCGGGAGGTGTTCGAGAATCGCAGGTCTGTCATCGGCACATGCACGCACATGCCTGTGCAACCTCTCTTCGGGAGGCCGCGCGGGCCGGCACATGCACGCACATGCGGTGAAGCGCGCGGGCGCACATGCGTGCACATCCCAATGCACATGCACGCGCATGGCCTAGGAGCTGTCTGGGACCCCTGTGCCTCCAATGCCTCCTGGCCTTCGCAGAGCTACATAACCTGGGGCGTGCCAGGGCTTCCTGAAAGAGTTTGTTGTGCGTGTAGACTCGCCCGCTGCTGGCGGGGGCGGTTCTTGGAGCTGGCGGTGGCGTGCCCTCCTAGTAAGACAATCTCCCGCGCGCCTTCTCAGCTCGGCCGGAGAAGCAGGGGTGGGTGGGGGAGGTGGAGGGGGGGGGGGAGGAGGGGGGGGCGGAGGAGGCGGACGCCCCTGGCTCGGCCGGCCCGCCCGCCTGTTCGGCTCGGCCAGAGGAGGAGGAGGAGGAGGAGGAGGAGGAGGAGGAGGAGGAGGAGGAGGAGGAGGAGGAGGAAGAGGAGGAGGAGGAGGAGGTGTTGAGAGTTGCGAGGATATCTCAGGCGAAAGTGGCTTGACGGCCCGAGCTCAGGGAATCTCGGAGTCGCTGGCCTGGCTCGGCCACTGGCGAGCTCGGCCTGTGCGAATACTGTGCGTACCTGTGCGGGGCATGTGCGGGACGTGCAAGAATCCCAAGGCCGGCGTTCGTCTCCGGGCGCCGGCGCGTTCGCGTCCGGCCCGTTCCGCGTGAGACGTCGTCGGCAATCTGGAGGCCGACATGCTTTGACATGAGGTGATCTGGCCACCTTCGCCTGAGACACCCTGGCAACTCTGGTCTCGGAGATGCCCTGCCCCAGGGTGGCCCGGCCACTTTCGCTTGAGACATCCTCGGAACTCTGGGTTTCGAGACGCCCTGAGTTGAGGTGGTTAGCCCAATTTCGCTTGAGACATCCTCGCAACTCTGACCTCAGAGATCTTTTGCCCCATGGTGGTCAGGCCACTGTCGCCTGAGACATTCTCGCAAGTCTCGATTCCGATATCCCCGAGCTGAGGTGGTCAGCCACTGTCGCCTGAGACATCCTCGCAACCCTGATCTCAATGATGCCCTGCTCGATAGTGTCTCGGCCCCTTTCGCCTGAGACATCCTCGGAACTCTGGGTTCCGAGACGCCCTGAGCTGAGGTGGTTAGACCACTTTCGCTTGAGACATCCTCGCCCGAGATGCCCTGAGTTGAGGTGTTCATTCCACTTTCTCCTGAGACACCCTCGCAACTCTGACGTCAATGATGCCCTGCTCCATAGTGTCTCGGCCTTTTTCACCTGAGACCCTCGCAACTCTGGGTTCCGAGATGCCCTGAGCAGGTGGTCAGGCCACTCCTGCCTGAGACATCCTCGCAACTCTGGGTTCCGAGACGCCCTGGGCTGAGGTGGTCAGACCACTCTCGCCAGAGACATCCTCGCAACTCTGACCTCAGAGATCTTTTGCCCCATGGTGGTCAGGCCACTTTCGCCTGAGACATCCTCACAACTCAGACCTCGGAGGTGTCCTGCCCCATGGTCGTCTGGTCACCTTGACCAGCGACATCCTCGCCACTCTGGTTTCCAAGATGCCCTGCCCCATGGTGGTCCGGCCACGCTTGCCTGAGACATCCTCGCAACTCTGGGTTGCGAAATGCCCCGAGCTCAGGTGGTCAGGCCACTATCGCCTGCGACATCTCTGCGGCATGTGCGGGCATGTGCGTCTATGCTTTCAGAGTTTTGCTTGACCGTGCATTCGACTGTGCGTCGGACGGTGTGGCATGTGCGCGCATGTGCGGCAATGCTGTTGAGGCTTTTGTATATTTGCATGGGCATGTGCATGCGACTGTGTGGCATGTGCCTGCATGTGCGGCCCCTTCCGGACCACAATTTCAAAGCGTGGCTCGACATCTCCGACTTTTGGCTTCGTGCTCCCCGCGCGCTTCGGCACTGGACGCGGCCGCCTGAGGCGAGCGTGGCGTGCCCCATCAACTGCCACTGCGACTATGGCATGTCTGGCATATTGTTGGGCATATTTGTAATTCTCGCCGCGGGCGTGTTCACCTTCTTTCCCGTCTTCCTGAATTGGTTCGCGTGGGAGTGGTACTTCGACCTGTGCTGGTTTTGCCTCGGGGTCGTCATCCTGACGTTCGGCTGCGTCTACGAGTGCTGCGTCGGCGCTCCCGACGCGAAGGCCCGGAAGGCAGAGGCGGACGTCGAGGACGGCGCCGTGAATGCCCCTGCGCTGTACATTATGATCAACAACTAATGAGTTTTGAGCCCGAGTTCGACGCTACGCCTGTTGAGCTTGTAGACCGTTCATCATGTGTGTCCTCCACATGTTGCGATCTGCGTTGCCCCGGGTACGCTCGTACAAACTTGCTTTATGGCAGTTGGGGCGTTCAATCTTGAGACAGACTCAGGTGACATGAGTATTGCTGCAGAGCGGAGGGGGGAGAAAAAAAGGAAGCCCCCAAGAGGCTTCAACAAACGCCCCAGAGGCCCCCTGGAAGCCCCAGGAGGCCCCCAAGAGGCCCAAATGAGGCCCCAAAGCTGCTCCCGAAACGCTTCAAAACAGCTTTCCAGAGGCCGCCGAGAGGCCAACCACGATTGCACATCTTTCTTCGTCGGACGTTTTCCCTGCCCAGGAGTCTATGAGATACCTAAGGAATAGGCCACTTTGGCCATACAGTAGGCTACCCTGCCAGGCAGCCTACCACACAGCGCACTTTGCGAGTACGTACGTCGACAAACTCCGTCAGACGGAGTTTGGCCACGACCGCTCCCCCTGGGACCGGTCTTGGGGCGCCCTTGGTGCCTTGTTGAAGCCCTACCTGGCCCTCCCTGGTTGCCTTGGGGAGACCCACGTGAGCCCCTAGAGGTCCCCGAGACGCCCACGGGTCCCCAAACCTGCCTCTCTCGCCCTGTGCCAGCAAGGCAAATTGATGTACACAGTTTCCACTCCGGCCGCTTCGCCGACGTCCACGACGACGACGAAAACGCCAACGACGACGACGACGACAGGCGGAGTCAAAACTGTGTACATCAATCGTCGCTGGTCGTCGTCGTCTTCGTTGTCCTCGTCGTCGACGTCGTCGGCACCTGACTGTCTTGCCCTGTGCCAGCGAAGCAAATCGATGTACGCAGTTTTGACTCCGGCCGCCTCGCCGACGCCCACGACGACGACGACGACGGCGACGACGAAGACGCCAACGACGGCGACGACGACGACGACGGCCGGAGTTAAAACTGTGTACATCAATCGTCGCGGATCGTCGTCGTCTTCGTCGTCCTCGTCGGCGTCGTCTCCGGCACCTGCCTCTCTCGCCGTGCAAAGGGGCATATTGATGTACACAGATTTGTCTCCGGCCGCCTCGCCGTCGTCCACGACGACGACGAGGGCGAAGACGCCGACGACGACGACGACGACGACGACGACGACGACGACGACGACGACGACGACGACGACGTCGACGACGACGACGACGACGACGACGGCCGGAGTCAAAATTGTGTACATCAAAATGCCCCGCTGGCACAAGGCGAGAGAGGCAGGTGCCGGAGACGACGCCGACGAGGACGACGAAGACGACGACGATAGATAGAGAGGGGCCCTAATTATGATGATGTAAGGTGAGAAGGATGAGGACCAGAAGGAGGGAGGAGGAAAAGGAGGAGGAGGAGGAGCGAAGACAGCGAGTTGATTCTGATCTCTTGCCCCCCTGGCTCTTTAGGAAGTCCTTTTTGTTGGACTGGAGCCGAAACTGTGCAGTGACTTCGGGCTCAAGTGCATTCGGGCCCATAATGCGCCCCTCTGTCGAGGTCTTCCTCCCGTTTCCCGTCTTCAGGGAGGCCCCGACTGAGCGACGAGGGCACTTGCGTATGATAGTATGTCCTAGGTTTCGTGCCTCTCCCACCCCTCCAAGGAGGCTCAGCCAGAGCGGGGAGGCAATCGGCATGAGGCATACCATGTTATTGGTCAGGATTCGTGCCCCTTCCCCTCCTCCAGGGAGGCCCGACCAGAGCGAGGACGGCGAAGGCGTTCTCCGTAAGCCCGCGAGTCAATCAAAGTTTGCTTTGGGGAACTCCGATAACATAGTTTGGGGAGCTTCTTCGTGGCAGCTTGGGATTCTTCGAAGCCTCTTGCCAATTGGGGCCATCTTTTGTGTTCTCCCTCTTGAGGCTGGGGGCCTTCTTGGGGATCTCTCGGGCCATCTGGCAGGCGCCTAGGCCTGTCTTGGAGCCCTCTTGGGCCGTCTTCGGGCCATCTTAGGGGCCTGACGGGCCGTATTGGAATGCTTTCGGCGGTCCCTTGGGCCGTCGTGGACGCTTGCATGACGAAAAAAGCGACTGAGCGAAACAGGTACGTTTATACATACAACGGCGCACCGGATCTGGGGGCCCAGGGCCGGGACCCCGACCACAAATGTGGGCTCCGGGGGGCCCGGAGGCTCGTCGGACCGCCGGACGCCGTCCAAGATCGTTCGCAGGCGGCTTCGGAACGCGCTCCGATGGCTCCAGATGCCTTCCAAGACGCCTGTCATGACACCAAGAAGGTCCCAGAAGCCTCCAAGACGCTCCGAGAGGCAGCCCAAGAGAGGCCCAAGAAGCAAAAATCGTGCCATTCCTATGGGAAAACGTATATTTTCGCATGTTCGCCTCTTGGGCTTTCGCCGCGTCCAAGACGGCCCAAGAGGCGCCCAAGACCGCCCCAAGACGGCCCAAGAAGCTTCCAAGAGGGCCCCAGGACAGCCCAAGAGGGCCCCAAGACGGCCCAAGAGGCGCCCAAGATGGCCCAAGAGGGCCCCAAGACGGACCCAAGAGGGGCCCAGAGGGGGACCACGAACCGCAAGCTCGAGCCTTCCGCCCCAAGAGGCCGCCAGGAGGGAGGCCCCTCAAGAGGCCCCAGGAGACCCCCAAGAGGCCCAAAGGAGGCTCCGAGAAGCCCCAAATCGGCCCCCAAAATGCTTCGAACCTGCTTCCAGGAGGCCCCCGACAGGTTCAGAGGCTCCCGAGAAGCTACGTCAAACTCCCAGCGAGCGGCCGGACGAGGCCCCCCACAAAATCACAAGAGGGTTCCAGTATTTGTATCCTTCAGCGCTCTCTGGCCTTTTTCCCCCTGCCCCCTTCCCTGCGTGACCCGGGAGGCCCCGGGCGGCCCCCAAGAGTCCTCCAACATGGCTCCAAACGCTTCCAAAAGCACTCCCACGAGGGCCCCAGCAGGCCAAACATTGATTTTTTCAATAGTCTTGGAGGGTTGGCCTTCTGATCTCGGCGGCTGTCCGACGCTCCTAGGCGGCCCAGGAGACCTCCGAGACCGCTCCCAAACAGCTCCAGAAGCGCCCAAGGCCGCCCCGAGGCGGTCCCAGAGGGCCCAAGGCTGGCCCAAGAAGCGCCCAGGGCCGCCCACGAGGGCCCCAAACAGGCCCGAAAGGTGTCCAAGAGACGGACCGCGCTCGGAAAACCCAGGGCTTCCGCTTCAAGAGAGCCCCAGGGGGCTTCAGATAGCTCCCAAGAGGCTTCAAACATGGCTCAGGACGCTTCCAGGAGCACCCTCCAAGAGGGTCCCAACAGGCCAAAATCGTTCGTTTTACTCAGGAATTGGAGGATATTGGCCTTCTTGTCTGTTCGGCTTTCCGACGCTCCAATGGGGCCCAGCGCGCCTCCAGGTCCGTTCCCAAACAGCCCTGGGCGGGCCCGGGAAGCCACAGGGAGCCCGCGAGACCGGCCCTGCGCAACCCAAGAGTTCCTCGGCAGGATAGTCAGGGAGGGGGGGAGAGCGGGGGGGCCTCTGGCGCCCCGTGCTCCAGGAACGCTCCTCCGGAACATGGCGTGCGAACGAAGAGGATCGGGGATCACAATAAGCAGAAATCGTAGATTTCCTTTGGGGAAACTGATAATTTTGGCGTGTTTGCCTTTTGGGCGTCCACTGCGCCAGGGGGCGCCAGGTGCGACAGGTGCGACAAGTGCGCCCGCAGGGGACAGGGAGGCCTCAAAGTGGTCCGCGTAGGACGTACCTCTGCTGGGCCTCCCAGGAACTTCCGAAAGTGGCGACAGTTGCCAGATCGCAGCCCCGCAGGGGACAGGGAGGCCTCAAAGTGGTCCGCGTAGGACGTACCTCCGCTGGGCCTCCCAGGAACCCACGAAAGTGGCGACAGTTGCGCAGATCGCAGCCCCGCAGGGGACAGGGAGGCCTCAAAGTGGTCCGCGTAGGACGTACCTCCGCTGGGCCTCCCAGGAGCCCACGAAAGTGGCGACAGTTGCGCATATCGCAGCCCAGCAGGGCACCGCGAACACAGAAGAGAACAAGGAGGAGAGGGCGGGAGGTGGATACCACAGTGCTCTATTCAAAATGAGTACCCAACACAAGGAGGGTTTGGAAAAAAGGGAATGCCCATAATTACAGTTTTTTTTGTTTTTGTTTTTGTTATCTCTCTCTCTCTCTCTCTTTTGTTTTTTCTCCAATATATATATATATAGAGAGAGAGAGAGAGAGAGAGAGAGAGAGAGTGGGACTCTGACTCGGAGATCCCGCACATCCCCTGACATTTGGCCAGTACCGCGCCTCCCGGCTTCCCGGGGGACCCCCAAGACGCCCAAAGACAGCCCAAGACGACCCTAAGGAGTCCCCAGAGCGTAAAGAACGGCCCAACACGCTCCCGCGCAGCCCGAGACACGGCTCTCCAGGCCTACAGGAGGCCTCCAGAACCCCCAGGGGGTCCGGAAGAACCAACACCCCTGAGGAGCTGGGCTAACAAAACCCACGAGGCACAAACAAAACACAGCGCCGAACGACGCCGAGGAACTGGAAAAAATGAACATCCCACAATTCCTTTTTCTTGTTTTTCAAGTTTGGCCCCCGGTCTACTCTCGCACAACACACCACAATTCAGACCCCGTCACCTCCCCCAAAAAACCCAGGAAGCATTTGAGGGCCCCAGATCGTTGAATACCGAAAGGAAATGAATTAATGATTTCTGCGTTTCCGCATTTCCCTTCTATACGATTCCGAGGCTTGCGCAGGGCCTCCAAGGGAGTCCCTGGACGCAGGAAGCGACCAAAATGAGATTACATGAGTTGGCCGATCAAGCCTAGCTAGATCTTGAGCGAGCGCGAAGCGCGCGCGATGTTTTTTGTTGTTGTTGTTTGTTTCTCTCTCTCTCTCTCTATATATATATATGTGTACTCTCTCTCTTTCTCTTATACAATGGATAGGGGGTCCCGGGCACCCCAAAGTGCACTGATCTATCTTCTGGCCGTTTCGGGCTCGGCGGGGGGCGCCAAACAACGTCAAAGGGGGGCAAGAGGGCGCCAAGATGGCCCAAGGACGCTTTAAGAGAGCCCAAGACCGCACAAGAGCGTTTCATAATTGGTCCAACATGGCTTAAAGACAGCCCGAGAGTGCTTCAAGACGGCCAAGATGCTCTCAAAAGGACTCCCACGAGGCACTCAGGAGGCGAACAAAGTGTTATTTTCGATGGTTTTCGAAGGTTTTTCGTGTTCTCGCTGTTTCGTGTTTCCGACTGTCCAAGACAGCCCACGAGGGCCCAGAAATCAGCTCAACGCGGCCCAAGAGACACCCAAAAAGGGCGCCACGACGGCGCAAGAGAGCCCCAAGACGGCCCAAGCGCGCCCCCCAAGACGGCCCACGAGGCGCTCAAGATCGCCCAAGAGGGCCCCAAGACGGCCCCAAGAAGGGCTCAAGAGGGGGAACACGAACCGACAATTCGAGCCTTCCGCCCCAAGAGGCCTCCAGGAGGCCCCAAGAGGCCCCCAACAGAGCCCAAGAGGCCCCCCAGAGGCCCCCTAGGTGCCCCACGAGGCCCCAGAGGCCCCAAAGAGGCCGCAACAGAGGCCCCAAGAGCACCCCAAACGGCCTCCAAAACATACCGGTGCATAGCAAAGGACCGCCTAGCCTATCGTGGCATCGCAGCGTTGCATGACATGGCATGGCACGGCACAGCACGACATAGCTAACCGTGTCAATGCATATCACAGTATGGTTCAGCATACCATCGTATTGCATTCCATAGCAGTGTTTAGCTGAGCCTCACACTGCAAGTCACGACGTAACATTGCCCAGCATGGCATGGCATCTCATGACGCACCGTGGCGTACTATGGCATTCCAATGCGCATACATTACTAGAGCAGCACCGTACTGCTCTGCGCAAGAGTAAACCGTGACCATACAAATATCACACCCCCGTTGTTGCTCTTACTGTCGTCCTGTTTATTTTAGCCTAGCAGTTCATAACATGGCATAGCATTGCATTGCATTGAATAGCACGGTATGCCGTGTCTGTGCATACCGTGTAACACGGTAGCATCGTTCTTCATAGGAAACATCGCATGATATGGCTCAGCGTATCATCCAACATATTACCATAGCATTTCACAGCACAGCATGGCATGGCATGCAATGCGCACTGTACGGTATATCATGCTATTGCATTGCATACTGCATAGTGGCATTGGGCTTTATAGCGTAGCATGGCATACCATGGCGTTCCATAGCATAGTGCAACATGGCGCTGTAGCGCTGCATTTTTCCTGGCCCATAGCTTGGCGACAGATCACCGGTCGACCGGTCGATGAGAGCGGAGGAGGAGGAATAAGGAAGGGGCAGAAGGAAACATATGATGTTGACCTGCATTTGCATCTAAGGGGTAAATCGGCCAGCAGGGCCCAGGCCACTCCAGTGGGGATAGGGATCGGTTAAACGATGCTCAGTTTGCCTCCTCCTGCTGCTCCTCGAGCCGACGGTCGGGGAGCGCATTGTCGGCGCGCGCCCCGCGGGCTCGGAGGAGCAATGCTTTGTGGTGCAGAGTGCCGCGAGGGTCACTCCTAGCCGCAGGGGAAAAATATGTGCTCCGCAGCCACGTTCATAGCATAATGCACAATGGCGCTGTAGCGCTGTATTCTTCCTGGCCCATAGCTTGGCGACAGATCGCCGGTCGACCAGTTAAGCGCGCGCGAAGAGCATGCTTGGTTCTAGGGTCCCGGGGCCCCCAAAGTGCACTGATGTGTTTTCCTGCCGTTTCGGGCCCAGCGAAGGGCGCCAAAAAACATCAAAGGGGGCCGAGAGACGTTCAAGAGGGCGCCAAGATGGCCCAAGAGCGCTCCAAGAGAGCCCAAGACTGCACGAGAGCGTTTGAACATGTGTCCAAGAGGCCTCCAAGAGGGCCCAAAAGAGCTCCGAGAGACGTCCCGAGAGAGCCCGAAGAGGCCCAAATCATTGATGTGCATTGGTTTGTTCGATGATTTTCGCTTTCTCGCGTCCTCGAGCTTCCAATGTTCGAAGAAGGTCGAAGACGCCTTCAAGACCGCCCCAAGACCGCCGAAGACGCCCCAAAAGAGCGCCAAGACGGCTCCAGAGAACCTGCAAATTGCACACGAGGAGCCCCAGACGGCCCAAGAGGCCCCAGGATAGGCCCAAAATGGACCACAGAGCGGGAGCAGGAGGCCCCAGGGCGCTCGAAGACGGCCCAGATGGCCCGGGCCTCCCCTTTCTGTCCCTCCTTCCCTCCCACCCCCTCCTCCATTACCTCCTCTCTCCTCTTTTTCCCCTCACCCCTCAGTTTCCGTGCTTCTCCCTCCTCTCTTGGGACGGCCCCGCCAGAGCGCCAGACAGGCCCCGCCTGAGCGAGCGGGGCATCGCTATACCCTATCATTTCACAAGTTGCTTTGCCCGTCACACCCCTCAGAGGCGGCCCCGGCAGAGCGAGAGGGGTGTTGCTATAGCATATACAGTCCCTGTTACGTTTTGCTCTTCCCACCGCACCCGAAGTAGTTCCGTTAGAGCGCACGGGATGTGGTTATACCATAGTTTTCCTCAGGTTTCGTGCTCTTCCCTCCCCTCCTGGGCAAGCCCCGCCAGAGCGCCAGGGAAACCCCCGTTAGAGAGAGCAGGACATCCCTACACCATACTCTTTCACGCGGCTTTTGCTCCTCCCACCCTTGCAAGGCGGACCCGCCCGAGCGAGCGGGGTGTGGCTATACCATACAATAGTTTAGGTTTCGTGCCCCTCCCCCACCTCCTGAAAGGCCTCGCCAGAGCGCGAAGAAGGTACCGCCAGAGGCCCCGTCAGAGCTCCACGCAACCCCATACATGGGACTTGCCAGGGAAATCATTGAGCATCCCCCGTGATTGACAGCAACTGATTGCAGAGGAGGGCACAGATGACGAGGGCATCTGCGCGCGCCCTCTGCAAATATCCGACAGCTGAACGACCGCTGTGAACGAGAAGCTTGGAGCACAATGAAGAGGAAAATAACAACGCGCTCCCACGCGCGCGCAACGAGGCCCCGAGCCAACCCCAACATCAGGAACCTTCAGATGTCTGCGTGATCGGGCATGGGGAGATTGAGCAGATGTGCGAAATCATTGAATGTTGCGACGGGGCAGAGCGGAAATGAAAGTGGAGAAACAAACGCAGTTCGATAAACCAAACGAAGGCGGCAGCGAGATTGTGAGGTGCGCGGGAACGTGGCGCCCCGCGTTCAGACTACGCGTTTTTTGCGTCTATGACATGGACCCGAGAACGCTGGAACTCGTCGTTGTGGCCACAGCGGGGTTTACAAAGGCACCCGTGGCTCATCTGCGACTAGAACCTAAGCGCGCGCGTAGCGCGCGCGTGGTTCTAGTCCTATAGGACTCAGAACATGGTAGACTCTTCCGGCTCTGTCGGCGGCCATCTAGGAACACTCTTGGGCCGTCTTGGGGGCCGCGTGGGTCATCGCGCACCCATATCGGACCGTCGTGGGAGTACCCCGGGTCATTTTAAGGCCCTATCGAATTATTTTGGCGCTGTGTGTGAGCCCTCTTGGGCCGTTTCGAGCTCTTGTTAAGGTTCCCGAGGCTCCATGTAAAGCGTTCACGAAGTCATGGGCCTGGGGAAGGCCCCCCTCACAACGTCATTTTGGGCCCCAGGGGATCGGGAAGAGTTGAGGGGCAAAGCCACATGTCTCACACGCACTCCCCCCCCCCAAGTTGGAGTGTGCGGATTTTGAAGGATTCGCACGGCAGTGGGCATCTAAGAAAAACGGTGGTCGTTGGCGCCACGATATGGCCCACGTATGGCCGGGAGGGGCTGTCCCGCAGTTGACGACCACCATTTTGTATGCTCCACTCCTGATACACATGTGTACTTCAATTCTTCGCTTGTCAGTGCACATCTTACAGGAATGGTGGTCGTTGGCCAGCGGCCTCTGGCGCTCCCCAGGCCTTCAATTGATTTTGATTGCTGCGCGCGGCAACGAGCATCTTAGAATAATGTTGGCCGTCGACGCCACGATGTGTTGCACGTGTGGCCGCCGGGTGCCTGGACTGACATTTCGAGCCCACAGGCCCCCAGGAGGCCCCAATAGGCCTCGAAAGGCTTCCAGCAAGCCCCCAGAAACGCCCAAGAGAGCATTGGGACTGGCCCAACAAGACCCGGGACGGCTGGAGGCGCTTCGACAAACCCTCACAGCGTCAAACGGACAACGCGGGAACCAACGTCATGCGCGCTATAGGCATCCTCTTTTTTGGCATTTTTTTTCGCAAGTCACGCCCACTTGGCCTCCAAGAAGCCGCCCAAAAGAGCCCCAGAAGGCCAACATCGTTCATTGTACATCGGTTTTTGACAGATTTTCGCCTTCGCGCCATTTCGGCTTCCCGACGCTCCAAGACGGCCCAAGAAGCCTCCAAGACTGCCCCAAGACCGCCCAAGAGGCCCCCAAAAGGGCCCAAGACGGCCCAAGAGAGGCCCAAGACGGCCCAAGAGGCGCCCTAGACGGCCCAAAAGAGCCCCAAGACGGCTCCAAGAGAGGCCCAACAGAGGGACCACGAACCGAAAATTCCAGTTTTCCGCCCTGAGAGGCCCACAGAAGGCCCCAAGAGGCCCCCAAGAGGCTTCCTTAGCCATTTTGGCTCAAGCCATTTCGGTTCAAGCGTGGTTCGACAGCTCCGACTTTTGGGTTCGTGCCCCCCGCGCGCTTCGGCACTGGGCGCGGCCGCATGAGGCGAGCATGGCGTGCCCCATCAACTGCCACTGCGACTATGGCATGTCTGGCATCTTGTTGGGCATATTTGTAATTCTCACCGCGGGCGTGTTCACCTTCCCGTCTTCCTGAATTGGTTCGCGTGGGAGTGGTACTTCGACCTGTGCTGGCTCTGGTTCTTCCTCGGGGTCGTCATCCTGACGTTCGGCTGTGTCTACGAGTGCAGCGTCGGCGCTCCCGACGCGAAGGCCCGAAAGGCAGAGGCGGACGTCGAGGGCGGCGCTGTGAATGCCCCTGTGCCGTACATCGTGATCAACAACTAGTGAGTTTTGAGCCCGAGTTCGACGCTACCCCTGTTGAGTTTGTAGACCGTTCATGCTGTGTGTCCTCCACATGTTGCGATCTGCGTTGCCCCGGGTACGCTCGTACAAACTTGCTTTATGGCAATTGGGGCGTTCAATCTTGAGACAGATTCAGGTGACATGAGTATTGCTGCAGAGCGGAGGGGGGAGAACAAAAAGAAGCCCCCAAGAGGCCTCAACAAGCGCCCAAGAGGCCCCTAGAGGCCCCCAGAGGCCCCCAGAAGGCCCAAATGAAACCCCAAAGCTGCTCCGGAGACGCTTCAAAACAGCTGTCCAGAGGCCCTCGGGCTCTTCAAGTTCCAAGAACTCCTGTCCTGGGCCACATTTTGAATGCCTGGAGCCAACTGTAAGGTATTCCGAGCTCTTCGAGTTCCCAGAACTCCACTCCCGGGCCACATTTTGAATGCCCAGAGACAGCTGTCGGCCATTTCGTGCTCGTCGAGTTCTCAGAATTCCAATCCCCGGCCACATATTGAATGCTTGGAGACAACTGTAGGCCACGTCGTGCTCTTCGAGTTCTTCGAACTCCGTTGCTGGTCACAATTTGAATGCCCAGAGCCTACTGTGCGGCACTTCGTGCTCCTCGATTCCGACGAGGTCGAGGAGGCGGAGACGCGTACCGTCGACGCGTTCGCGATCTTCCTGCGCGAGTGCTCCTTCGACCTGAAGGTTGTCGTCGTCGTCGTCGTCGTCGCTGTCCTCTTTACCGTCTTCGCCATTTGTTTTGTAATTCTTTGTTCCGTCGCGACGGCGAGACAGAGGAGGAGGAGGGGGAGGAGGGGGGGAGGAGGAGGAGGAGGAGGACGACGAAGAGGAAAAGCCTCGGAACCGAGAGTTGCGAGGATGTCCGAGGCGACAGCGGTTGGACCACCATGGGGCAGGGCATTTCCGACGTCAGAGTTGCGATACATGTATCAGCCGAAAGCGGCCCCACCACGTCAGCTCGGGGAGTCTTGGAACCCAGAGTTGCGACGCTGTCTCCGGCCAAGGCGGTCGGATGATCATGGGGCAGAGTATATTTAATGTCAGAGTCGGTGTCTCAAGCGAAGGTGGCCTGACCACCTCAGAAGCTATAAACACTTCGGAATGGACTGGAGTCGAAACTGTGCACTCACTGACTTCGGGCTCATATGCGTTCGGGCCCATAATGCGCCCCTCTGTCGAGGTCTTTCTCCCGTTTCCCGTTTTCAGGGAGGCCCCGACTGAGCGATGAGGGCATTTGCATATCATAGTATGTCCTAGGTTTCGTGCTTCTCCCACCCCTCCAGGGAGGCTCAGCCAGAGCGGGGAGGCAATCGGCATGAGGCATACCATGTTATTGGTCTGGATTCGTGCCCCTTCCCCCCCCTCCAGGGAGGCCCGGCCAGAGCGAGTATGGCGAAGGTGTTCTCCGTAAGCCCGCGAGTCAATCAAAGTTTGCTTTGGGGAACTCCGATAGCAAAATTTGGGGAGCTTCTTCGTGGCAACTTGGGACTCTTCGGCGCCTCTTGCCAATTGGGGCCACCTTTTGTGTTCATCCTCTTGAGGCTTGGGGCCCCCTTGGGGGTCTCTCGGGCCGTCTGGCAGGCGCCCAGGCCTGTCTTGGAGCTCTCTTGGGCCGTCTTCGGGCCATTTTCGGGGCCTGACGAGCCGTATTGGAATGCTCTTGGCGGTCCCTTGGGCCGTCGTGGACGCTTGCATGACGAAAAAACCAGTCAGTGAGCGAAACATGTACGTTTCCTATAGGGCTTCGAACATGGTAGACTCTTCTGGCTCTTTCGGCGGCCATCTAGGAGCACTCTTGGGCCGTCTTGGGGGCCGCGTGGGTCATCGCGCACCCATATCGGAGCGCCGTGGGATTACAATGGGTCGGTTTAAAGCCCTATCGAATTATCTTGGCGCTCTGTGTGTGAGCCCTCCTGGGCTGTTTCGAGCTCTTTTAAGGCTCCCGAGGCTCCAGGTAAATCGTTCACGAAGTCATGGGCCCGGGGAAGGCCCCCCTCAAAACGTCAATTTGGGCCCCAGGGGATCGGGAAGAGTTGAGGGGCAAAGCCAAATGTCTCACACGGATTCCCCGCCAAGTTGGAGTGGGCGGATTTTGAAAGATTCGCACGGCAGTGGGCATCCAAGAAAAACGGTGGTCGTTGGCGCCACGATGTGGCCCACGTGTGGCCGGGAGGGGCTGTCCCGCAGTTGACGACCACCATTGTGTATGCTCCACTCCTGATACACATGTGTACTTCAATTCTTCGCTTGTCAGTGCGCATCTCACAGGAATGGTGGTCGTTGGCCAGCGGCCTCTGGCGCTCCCCAGGCCTTCAATTGATTTGGATCGCAGCGCGCGGCAGCGAGCATCTTAGAATAATGTTGGCCGTTGACGCCACGATGTGTTCCACGTATGGCCGCCGGGTGCCTGGACTGACATTTCGAGCTCCCCGCCCAAAGAGCCCCCCAGGAGCCCAAGAGGTCCCCAGGAGACCCCCAACAGGCCCCCAAGAGGCCCCAAGAGGCTGCGAGAGGCTTCCAGCAACCCCCCAGAAACGCCCAACAGAGCAGTGGGACTGCCCCAACAAAACCCCGGGGCGGCTGGAGGCGCCTCGACAAACCCTCACAGCGTCAAACTGACAACGCGGGAACCAACGTAATGCGCGCTATAGGCATCCTCTTCTTTGCTGTTTTGTTTTTTTCGCAAGTCACGCCCATTTGTCCTCCAAGGTCGGGGTTCGTGGCAATATCAGGTTTCTTCTTATGTTTTCTGCGTTGTCGAGCTGTCGGTTTGCACTGTACAATTCATTGTTTATTCCTTCTGCGCTTTCGGCTCTCGATTTCCGAATTAGTGGTGTATGTGTTTGCTGCCCTCGACGGCAGTTGCGGAGAAGACTGAGGGGCCAGCGCGGCCTCGGTGGCGTGTTTTATGTGGACATTTGAAAGTCCGTGTAAGGGAATATGTGAGTGCGGGACTGCGGGAACATCTTGGCGAGTGGGGGTATGTTCGCGTGGTGTTTCGATGGTATCCAGGGACATGCGAAATTGTTGTAGCGTGCGTTGTATTGATACACGACAGTCTTGTTGGGGGAATATGTTTGTGTGGTGCTGCGTCGATATCTGTGGAAAGGGGGAATATGTTCGCGCGGTGTGCCGTGGGGGAACCGGGAGAGGGGCAAGTGTTGTAGCGTGTTTTCCGTGAACATAGGGGAGTGTGGTTTTGGGAGTACGTAGGTGTGGGTCTGTGTGAACATCTTGGCCAGGGCGAGTATGGTCGCGTCGTGTTTCGCTGGTACTGTTGGAGAAGGGGATTTGTTGTAGGTCCCGATGTGGTGAGACACGAAAGCTTCGTTGGTGGAAGATGTTTGCGAGGTGCCGCGCGGATATCCAAGGGAAGGGGGAATCTGTTCGCGTGATGTTTCGTGGATACCCGAGGAGGGGGACGCTAGTTGTAGCGTGGGTTGCAGTGACATCCGAACATTCGGTTGGGGGAATATGTTTGTGTAGTGTTGCGTTGATATCCTGAGAAGGGGGGATTTTTTTCGCGTGAGGTGTCCATAGTGTCCTGGGAAAAAGGGGAACCTGTTTTAGCGTGCGGTGTAGTAATATAGGGAAGTCCGGTTCGGGGAATCTGTTCACGTGGTGTTTCGTGGGTATCTTGGGGGAGGGGAAGTTGGTGTTGCGTGCGTTGATATGCGTAGAACGTGTTTGTGTGGTGTTGCGTTGATATCACGGAAAGTAGGATTTTTGTCGCGTGGTGTTGCGTGGGTATGCCGGGAACTTGGGACCTGTTGTAGCGTGCGTTGTAGTTTTGTCCTAAAGTCTGGTTGGGGGAACTTGTTGTTGTGGTGCTGCGTGGATATCCGTGGAAGGGGGCATATGTTCGCGCTGCGTTTCGTGGGTATCTTGGGGGAGGGGAACTTGTTGTAGCGTGCGTCGTGGTTATATACAAGAGTCCGGTTGGGGAATTTGTTTGTGTGGTGCTGCGCGGGTATCGTGGCAAGGGGGAAGCTGGTCGCGCGGTGTTCCGTCGGTCATTTGGGAATGGGGAATTTGTTGTAGCGTGTTTTGTAGTTATACAAGAAGGTCCGGTTGGGGGACTCTGTTTGTATGGTGCTGAGTGGATATCCTGGGAAGGGGGAGCCTGTTCGCGCGATGTGTCGTGGGTGCGCAAGGAGAGTGGCACTTGGCGTAGCGTGCGTTGTACTGATATGGGAAGTCTGGTTGGGGGAATATGTTTGTGTGGTGCTGCGTGGACATCATGGGGAGCGGTTTTGTGTGGTTGGGTTTTCGGTGGGTATCCGGGGAAACGCAAAGTTGATGTAGCGTGCGTTGCAGTGATCTACGGAAGCCTGGTTGGGGGGAATTTGTTTGTGTGGTGCTGCGTAGACATCCTGTGGTGCATTTTGTTTTTCGTATGGTTTTTTGGTGGGTATCCTGGGAGTGGGGAGTTTGTTGTAGCGATCGTTGTAGTGATTCATGAAAGTCCGGTTTGGGGAACCTGTTTGTGTGGTGCTCAGTGGAAACATTTTTGGAGGAGTGTGTCGTTGGTATCCAAGGAGAACTGCACGTTTTGAAGCGTCCCTGGTACCGATATACGAAAGCAAATTCGGGGGAATATGTTTGAGTGGTGCTGCGTGGATATCTGGGGAAAGGGGGAATCTGTTCGAATGGCGTTCCGTGGGTATCCTGGAAGAGGGGACTTACTGTAGGTTGCGTTGAAGTACTCTACGAAAGTCCGATGAGGGGGGAACTTGTTTAGCGTGGTGTAGTGTGGATACATCGGGCAGGGGGACTGTGTTGGCGGGGTGTTGTGGTATTGGTATATTGGGAAAGGGGAATTCGTTCTAGCGTGCGCTCTGGTGATATACGAGAGTCCGCTGGGGGAGAATCTATATGTGTGGTGTTGCGTGGATCTTCTGGGAAGGGGGAATATGTTTGCATGGTGTTTCGTGGATATCCTGGGAGAGGGGAGCTTGTTGTAGTGTGCGTCGCTG